TCTACGCTTTTCTATATTCCAAGCTTGCCTGCTGCACTGGGGACATCACATGCATGTGCGAGTCGTGAAAATTATGAAAATAAATCTAGGAATTTATTTAAGATTTTAGAAAATCTAAGTGGGGTTGAGGCATCAAAAGCAACTAAGCTTGTTTTATGGATGGTAACTGTAATATTATTACTGAAATCTTATTAGTAATTAGTTACACTACTAGTTACTGCAAAAAGTAATATTATTACAGTAACTAAGTTACTAGTTACTGCCCAACACTGGTGATGGGGCGGGTGAGACTGAGGGTTTCTCCACCCCGGGCCACACAAACCCGCTGGAGGACTGACAAACAACAGGATTAGCTCCCAGTGCCTCTAATTCCACCGGCTGCAAACAATGCTAACACAAAATGATTAATTCATTAGTTAACACACTCTGAAGTACCCCGAGTCAGCCTTGTCTAATTAAAAATGAATTAAACGAAAGGGGAAAAAAACACCACAGAGCTTGTTTGTTTTTTTTTAGACCAGAGCCAAACGACTGCAATACCTGCCCTGAGGTGAAGAGGGCGGCGGGAGAACGGATCTGCCCTTTTGAGAAACGCCGGCTGAATCCAAACACTCTCTCGAGCCACAAGTTGCCAACCTTGTGATAACATTAGATATCAATAATTAATACTCTGCAGTGGCACTGCAGTGAGTGGATTATGACAACATCCCAGAGGACAGGAGAACATACACAGACACGATGGGTCCAGCAATCGGCTAATCCCTTAATACTGTCGACTCGTTTTTCTAGCATATTTTACAGCTCTCGTTTTTTAAAGCTTTAATATTTTAGCTGCAGTGCTTTAAAGGAGGATGAATTAGGGGGATGCTGAGGTTTTAGCATGATAACTGTACTGTCAGCATGGCAAAACACTCTCTAAATGCTCTAATACCCAAAGTAAAGTTTGTGTGGCTTTTAGACCATGGGTATTGGAGATTATTCATATGCTAGTGTACACGGATATATGCATTTTACTGCATTTTGTCCAATCAAGTGCTCTCAAGAATGTCTTTCATGCTAATGCTGCCTGCAGCCGATTAGCATGTATCAAATCATGGTACACGGCTGTGATGTAGGCTAACTAAACGCTAAAAAGAAGGGACCAGAAGAGACCAATGCCTTGTCCAAATACCCACACTTGCGGTCTAAGTGCGCAAGACTGTCCAGTGTCCTAAAAACGCCAAAGCGCAGTGCACTTAACGCACACTAAATCCACACTATCTAGAATACAGCTCCAGAGCGCTATTCGGGGCTTAGTGTATCCCATCATGCATCATGTTTTTAAATAAATCGTGAAATTTTTGCTGAGATCTCACGAGAAGTCATGGAAACCATTCCAATACAAGTTAAATATTAATATAATAATTAGATATAATTAGATATAATTACATAGAACTGTCTTTTCAACTACACAGTATTATTTCTGTCTTACAGTCATTCATATTATCACAGAAATACTGGGGTGAAAGTTTATAGTTCAGATATAAACATTGGTATCTATGGCAGCGATCAAAATAGAGCAAATCACCTTTTGAAAGTAACTACGCTTCAAATAACGTTTGTGTCAATTGCATTGTTTGAAAAGTGAAAAGTGACTTAAATGTATTTGTGATTGAGTGAATTATTCATTCAAGAGAATCGTTCAAAAACGCTGATTCATCCAGTAATGAAACAAGTGAAGTAGGTTTATGAGTGAGTCGCTGAATCATTGATTCAAACAACTTTTTCATAATTTTAATATTAAAAATTGGTGTATTAAATGTATTATATATACACTACCAGTCAAAAGTTTTTGAACCGTAAGATTTTTTATGTTTTTTAAAGAAGTCTCTTCTGCTCACCAAGCCTGCATTTATTTGATCCAAAGTACAGCAAAAACAGTACAATTTTGAAATATTTTTACAATTTAAAATAACTGCTTTCTATTTGAATATATTTTAAAATGTAATTTATTCCTGTGATCAAAGCTAAATTTTCAGCATCATTACTCCAGTCTTCAGTGTCACATGTTCCTTCAGAAATCATTCTAATATGCTGATTTGCTGCACAAAAAAAAACATTTATTATTACTGTTGAAAACAGTTGAGTAGATTTTTTTCAGGTTTCTTTGATATAAAGTTCAGAAGAACAGCATTTATCTGAAATAGAAATCTTTTGTAATATTATAAATGTCTTTATCGTACTTTTGATCAATTTTGCTAAATAAAAGTATTAATTTATATAATTGACCCCCACCCCCCCTCAAAGTTTTTTTTTTTTAAATACTGACTCCAAGTTTTTGAATGGTATAGTCATAGTGTATAATGTTACAAAAGCTTATTTCAGATAAATGCTGATCTTTCTATTCATCAAAGAATCCTGAAAAAATGTACTCAAGTGTTTTAAATTTTGATAAAAATAATAATAAAAAAAATTTTTCTTGAACAGCAATCAGCATATCAGAATGATTTCTGAAGGATCAAGTGACTGGAGTAATGATGCTGAAAATTCAGCTTTGATCACAGCAATAAATCACATTTTGAAATATATTCAAATAGAAAGCAGTTATTTTAAATTGTAAAAACAAATATTGTTTCACAATATTACTACTTTTGGTGTATTTTGGATCAAATAAATTCAGGAGGCATTGCTGGGCAGAAGAGAATTCTTTAAAAAACATAAAAAATCTTACTGTTCAAAAACTTTTGACTGGTAGTGTATATTAAAATGTATAATAATTTATTCAAATGAATTAAACACTTTTAAATAGACTGCAGCAATAATGTTTTGTCACACATTATTTTGCTTTGTTCAGAGTCGTGGGAGAATCGTGATCTCTATTTGAGACAAAAAAATCGTGATTCTCAATTTATCCAGAATCGTGCAGCTCTAACCGCAAGTGTGGGTATTTGGACAAGGGGCAAGTGACACACCATCCCACCTAAACCTGTTTTAGAAGAAATAAGTCCGCCTAGTGATTTCATGAGGCGTTCCCGTTGTTTTGCAAAATCTAATCGTGCATTAATCATGTCAGAAAGATTGTATTTTCGAGTTGAACACACATGAACGCCAGCACAAGTTTTAATTAAGAATAAAATAATTTCTTTAAGTGCTGAGTTTCCAAGTTGATAAAGTGTCAAAAAACACGGTGGACGCCGTGTTGACCGACAGAAAGCTGCTTGGTTTGCAAGTGTTTTCCCTGTGAGCAGCACTTTCTACATAGCTATATTAATGACAAAAGACAACAGATCTTTTTATCTGTGAAATTTTGCAAATATAAGAGCACCTTAAGACAAAAACACACCCGATGCACATTCTTTATTTTTCAATTTGTAGAAATAGAATTCAAAAATGTATTTTTTTTTGTAAAAATTTTACATCTTGCTCCAATGTATGTGACTTGAACACTTTGCAATCACGACTTCTCTACTCACACATATATGAACTTCCCAGGAGGACTTGAACGCACCATTAAGATGTCTTCGAGGACTACGCTTTTTTGTATGATAAATTCAGCCTGTGTATTTAAAGACAGAAATGAGTTATTTTAGGGTAATTAAAAAGCAACCTAAAAATAACCATTAAAGAATGTTGTGCATTAGTATTAGCTTTTATTAGGTTGTCACAAAAACCTCCCTGCAATGTTCTGTGAACGTTAGTTAATGATTATAAAAAAAAACTATACAATGTTTTACAGCAGTACAGAGCCTTTTATGAGAATCAATCTACAAATAACTGACTAGTTTGAATCTCTGCTGGCATAGAAACAAATGTATCATTGGTAAAACAAAAATGACACACTTCCCCTTTAAGATTCGTTAAAGAACACAACTCCTGAAGTGAAAACTCATTTTATGCTGGAACTCGTTTTAAGTTGTTTTTCTGAACAACAAGTCAGATTACAAAAAAATATATATAAAATACACAGTCCCTGGTATCAAGGGAAAAAGGGAAGATGGGAGCGGCTGAGAGGGAGCAGGGCGTCTGCTACACGGCAAACAAGATTAGAGACCGATGTAGCAGCTGGACACTCATGGGCTGTCGAGAGGCAGAACAACCTGAGATCTCGCAGTATCTCCTCTCCTCCTTCAGGGACGGACACGTCAACACCGTTCAGCTGGCAAAACACAAGCCTGCACAATTTCATCTCTGAATATAAGCCTCGGTAATGGGTCGATCGGTCAGGCAGATCAGTTTTTTCATCCCGTCACGGCTGATTAGAAGGCCAAGATCATCAATGACTATTTTTGCTTGGTGTGAGGTGCGACACAGCTGACAAATACTGGCTTTCTGTGCTCCGTTTTATTTTTCCTCCAACAATATGGATCATACTAGAGCTGGGGCGAGATAATGGCATATACCGCATGACAGTAGCAATGTGTCAACTGGTAGAGACATATAACGCTTACATGGCCATCGCTATTGCAAAATGCACTGCGGCAACGTCTTATTTGTCATTTTGGCTTATGTGCTTCTGAACAGCAGCATAAAATCACTCTTTTATCCATTTTTCAGTCGATTCAAGTTTAGTTGGCTGCATTGCTCCAGCACACAAAAATCAGGCAATGCATGCAGTCGCAACACTACAGTACGTCTTGTTATTATTGAAAGCGACAAATATGTGTTTACTGTGAACAAGCTTTATACAGGCTAATGCAATAGAAGGCAGCTTTAAAAGTGAACGCTTTCTGTATGATTGTTCCTCTACAACGTGCAATCATGCGAGTTTAACGTTGCATTGAATGTGACAGCTAACTGTGAGCTGCGTATGAAAATTTGATGAACTAAGAAATTGCTGGACACAAAAAAAATCATGGTTTTACAACCTGCACTGCTGATCAATTATGTGTGATGTCGCATGCAAATTGCGGAAACTGTTTGCATTGTATAAAGCCTCATGCATGCAAAATGAGAAAGACTGCATATTAAGTGCATGTGTGTGTGTAAGAGAGATCATGCTTCATTGCATCTGAAGCCTTTACCAGTAAGTTTCTCCAGCTCCGCCAGCGTGTTCTGGTATTCTTTGATGATCTGGTCGTAGCGAGAGATTACATCCTTCCGTAGGTTGTCCCAGTGTGGTGAGAGCTCTCCCAGATCTTTCAGCTCCTGTATCCTGTAGGAAACAACATAAATCGATCATCATGTTGGCTTGACTTACAGAATTCCCATATCAGGCTTCGGAACAGGCCCAAACTCACATAATCTTTCACTTGAAAACTTTCATACAATAACTGATATAGAGTATTTAAGCTGCCATATCACTAGCAAAACCTAACAACTAGCCTGCAACACACTAAGTAAGCCTAACAACATGTTAAAATATGCTAAGAACATGCTAGCAACATACTAAAACATGTTAACCAAATGCTAACAACAGGCTAAAACATATTAGAAATATGTTAAAACATGCAGGGAAAATGTTAAAATACTCTCAACATTTAGAATGTAAAGCATGTTTTAACATCAGTCTTACTAAAACATGAACATGTTCTACAAATGTTAGCAGTGTGTTAACCCTAACCCTCATGTGTTAAAACATAAGCAATGTCATACTAAAACATGTTAAAACATACTAGGATCATGCTAACAACTTGCTAAACCATGCTAGAAATGAGCTAACAACATGTAAAAACATATTAGTATTGTTAAAACATGCTAGAAACATGTTAAAACTAACTAAAAAAACATGTTAACAATGTGTTAAAATATGCTAGAGAAATACTAGTAATGTGCTAAAATGTAACAATTTGTTAAAACATGCTAGAAACATGTTAATCACATGGAAAAACATGTTAGCAATGTGCTAAAATACTGTATGCTAGAAAATGCTAGTAATGTGTAAAAATGTTATCAACATGTTAACAATTTGCCAAAATATGCTAGAAACATGCTAGCCACATGGTAAAACATGTTAGCAGTGTGTTAAAACATGTTAGAAACATTAAAACATGTTGACAATGTTAAAATATGTTAGAAATATATAGACACATGGTAAAACATGTTAGCAATGTGATAAATACTTAAAAAAAGTATTAAAGCATATTAGAAACATGCTAACAATGTTAAAATATGCTAGAAACAGCCATGGTAAAACATATAAGCAATGTGTGAAAATATGTTCAAAACACATTAAAACATACTAGAAACATGCTAACAATGTTAAAATATGCTAGAAACATGCTAGCCACATGGTAAAACATGTTAGCAGTGTGTTAAAACATATTAGAAACATTAAAATATACAAGAAACATGTTAACAATGTTACAATACACTAGAAAAAATGCTTGTAACATGTTAACCACTTGCTAAAACATGCTAGAACATTGCAAAACATTAGCAATGTGCTAAAACATGCTAAGGAGATGTAAAAACGTTGGAAGTATGCTAGCAACTTGTTAAAACAACAGCAATGTGCTAAAACATGTAGCAACACTTACTTCCTCTGAGTAAAACCTTCAAAATTCAAGCTTTTAAAGTTATTTTAAACTTTCAGACAAGTGTATCTTTAAACTTTACTCATCTAGTTATTGTTACTGTTCCTGTTTAACATCCAAAAGTCTGAGAGCACTAGCGGATTTCTACTCTGCATTCAAAATGCTAATTTATGCTGTAATGAAAGCAGCACTGGAGCATACTTGATCAAAACCTGATGATCATGTTCTCCTGCATGATTTGAGATGTAGAGCATCTCGAGCTTCAATGCAAGCAAGAACATCTGAATTACTGGCATATTTTAGGTTTTCATAAGCATTTTACACTCACTCTGACCATTTTTTTTGCTGTTCTAACTTTACGACTTCTATGAAAACATGTGACACTCGTGATCTGTGGGTTCACTGTCGGATCTGTTATAGTTTTAACTGCTGCATCCTTCAATAACACTTAGATAGATTAATCAAACACACAAGCTCGCGAATGTGCCCTTCAAACTTCTAAGATCAGACTGAAACAATCAGTATTTTTATTGTTAAAAATAAGCTTCAAATAGGGATGCACCGAATGTTCGGCAACCGAAATTATTCGGCCGAAAATAGCAAAAAAAAAGCTCTTTATATAATAAGCGAATAAGACAGAATAAATTGTACCGAACAATGATATGACGCGATCAAATAGAGGCGCGCACTAATGCAGCAAACATGACGGCAGTGTGGAAGCATTTAAAAGTGTCAGAGAAAGACGCAAAAATCATTACAAGCACCGACAGCGAGAAACTGTTTAGTACTGCATCTCATGTCTCCGATGAGAAGAGGAAGGGGTGGTTGTTTCTGGTTACTGTATGATGACTGAAATCGCGAAATGCCCCTAAACAATTAAATAAACTGCAGAACGTTGTGTTTTCTAATACACGCACGAATTGCATGTATTCAAACAGCGCTGCATTTCAAAGTCCAAAGCGCGAGGAAAATCTGCGCTAAAATAGTGTTACTCGTCAGTTGCTCAGTAACAATTTTATTAATTTTTACAAAGCATGTGACAATCTGATACGTGCAACAAACGTCTTCCCAAATTCGTAATGAAAATCATTTCATTTCAATCAACAAAAAGAAGCACTGAGGTCTTCCTGTGGGTTTCTGCCAAAATAAAAGTTGAGAAAAACCAAGAACTCCATCAACATTAATAAATGTTATTATTGTAATTTTTACTGTTGTTCTGTAAAATAAAATAAAGTAAGACAATAATAATGATAATCATTATACCAGCTCTTACAACAGCTCTATTAATACATTTATTATAGCATTCACACATAGTGTTCAATCTGGGATCTGTAATATTTTCTAATGTTTTAAAAGAAGTCTCTTCTGCTCAGCAAGGCTGCATTTATTTGTACAGTAAAAAATACATGCCTGATTCAAGAAGGGGGTCTCAAAAATGGCCAAAAAATATTATTTGACTAACTTATTAATTTTAAGTTAAATTGTGTTTTATTGATATAATGTCTGCTAGAATGTTAAAAAATTTGCAGTGTTAAGTAAATATTTTTAAAGCACATTTTGGCTATTTAATTTATGCAATGGTGAAAAAAAATGGCAAAATGGGGGAAAAAAATGCGAAAAACCGTATTCGGTATTCAGCCTTCGGCCCAGTGTTTCATTTTGTTCGGCTTCGGCCAAGAATTTTCATTTCGGTGCATCACTAGCTTCAGCTCAACTTCACTAACATTTCTGACATCAAAAATTGCAGAAGTGATAAACGAGCCTTTTTTTGCTGCCTATTTTCAATAAATGTTTGGAGTTTTAAGTTCTGAATGTCACAGTACGTTTTCTCAAACCAAGAAACCAGTGAATTTCTCATCACATGGCCCCTTTAAATCTGTATATGAAGGGATTAAAAGCCACAAAACTCCAATTTTGCTTCCATTGGGCCTTTGAAAAGGGATCACAGACTATTTATGTCCCCTGGGGCAATTCAACGGGTGAAATTCACTCATTCAGTCTCATTCAATAGCATTTACGCATAGACTTTCTCTTTACGTGTCACGCTGAGAGGCTCTGTTGCTTGACTTACTGTGTATTGTGTCTTTATGTTGTCATGCGAGGTCTGCAGCGATTTGCTGCGTAACACTACGGTAGATTTAAATACGTTATCTCTCCATGCAGACTGACAGAGTCAAGTCTCATTAATAAAAGGCTCAGGAATCTTTAATTGTGGAGGGCATTTCCAAAGGGAACAATGATTAATTTTCATGTAAATTCAAAGTCTCTGTGATACTTTAATAATAATTTCAGAAATGTGATTAGCATCTTCAAAAGGAGCCAAAGGTGACAAGAGCTGCAGAAATGAAAGAAATGAGCAGAACAGAGCGATTATTGTTTCTATTGAAAGGTAAGAGCAGTGTTTTTTTTTTCTTCATAATTCAGCATCTTATTCTCATTTTAAAGCCAAAGTATGTCGTTTCTGTGCCACTAACATCACTAAACTGAAAATGATTAATGTTCGCTTTTTAATACATGAACATCTACAGTATGTGCACAATTACATTTAGCAAGATTCATAAAAAGAAAACGGTTTTATTCATAAATTGATAAAAACTGACAATAAATAGATTTATAATATTACAAAATATTTCCATTTCAAATACAGTAAATGCTGTTGTTTTTTACATTCATCAAAGAATCCTGAAAAAAAAGTATCACAGTTTGCACAAAAATATGAAGCAGCAAAAGTGTTTTCAACATTGATAATAATGAGAAATGTTTTTGAGCAGCAAAACAGCATATTAGAATGGTTTCTGAATGATTATGTGACACTGAAGACTGGAGTAATGATGCTGAAAATTCAGCAATAACTTACATTTTACAATATATCCAAACAGAAAACAGTTATTTTTTATTGTAAAAATATTTCACAATTTTACAGTTTTTACTGTATATTTTGAGCAAATAAATGCGGCGAGCATAAGGGACTTCTTTCTAAAAATGTTTAAAAATCTTAACAACCCACAAAGTTTGAATAATGAATTTAGTTTATTTCTTAATATAGTGTTAAATGAACACACTTTTGTTAACCCAACCACATCCTAACCACGACTACAGTGTACAAACGTAATTTCTCATCTTAATTAAATGTGATTTAAGCACTGATTAAAGGGCCAAACACAATCCACAGTGTGTATCTGAAGTCTGAAATGTACATATGGGCACATACGGGTCCAGAAACACCACTGGTTAAAGTCCCCATGAAATCAAAATTAAATTTTTTTGGGTGTTCGTATCAATATGTTAGTCTTAAGGTTATCTATAAGGCAGTGTGCTCCAAAACAGTGACAAAATTCGCATTTAGAAGATATAAGCATTCAAAGCTTGCAGTTCGTCACTTCCGCCAAAACGGCTCAACGATTTTTTTGATGTCACATCGTACTTCATCTTCTCATCAAATCTTCTGACCAATCAAATGCTCTCTAGAATCCGAAGCGCCCCCCCCCTGCACTATAAAATAGACGCTGAAGTGGCTGAGATCGGTCACTTGTTCACAGTGTAGTATTTCCTGCACAGTGTAATATTTCCTGTACAGTGAATGGCTCGAAGTGCACAATGTAGGTGATAGGGAATGATTCAGACAGTGTAAATATGCTTTCGATTGGTGCAAAGGAGGTCTGGTTTCACGTTGTTTCAC